ATCCTGAGAACTCCTTAGCAAATCGACAGCTATTTATTTCATCCCATCGTGTTCTAAACTTTTTGTGGGTGTTTTCCTTAATCATTTCAAAAAGTGCTGACAACGAGATCCCACTGGAGGAACCGGGTCCAAACATAATAAGGCCCGTATTCATAGCGATTCCTTGAGGAATAGGGATCCCTTATTCCGTATTCTGCATACCATAAGGAATAGCTAGCTTGTCAGCTTCTTTCTGCCATTATGACCTGTCGTGTCCCTTAAATACAAATATACTCTTGGTAGGCGAGGCCACCACTAGCGCTGGGTGGAATTCTCATTCCGATCTGGACATTATTTTCCGATTATGCAAGATAAGTACTGATCAGTACGTTCTATCTACGATACTTTGTGAAACTTTTAAATTCTTCGCAACTCGTCTAGTGTCGATAATGTTATCCTCGAGTGGTCAAAATGATTTTTGAGGAACTACGCTGTGAATGATATGCGAACCCTTAGATTTTAATACGGAATAACATACCATTTTAACACTCTAACACGGAACAGTATTTCACAATAGCTTCCCATAATTATAGGATCCTCTTTTTGAACATGTTGAGATGTATTGGTTGATTTTATACAACGTTGATAATGTAACTGACTTAATATACATGTCTATTTTGGTCTGATCGCACCAGTTACAGAATTACCTTGCACATCGCTAGGAATACTTGACTTTTACTTGTTGTTCTCGGGTTGGGCTCTGTGGGGGAACACTCGACATCAGTGATTCTCTGGAACGTTCCAACCAACGCTTCCAAACGTTTCACCGTACTTCACTGTCGGCATCTTCAGTGGTGACTCTGCAAATGCTTCGTCGCGACACTTTCAAATAGGGTCAGTTATAAAATACTCTCAAGTAGCGAAAATTGCATTATTTATTTATAGATCGATTTACTTAAACAAGTATTTCAAAATTTCTATCTTTAGTCCATTTGGGTTAGAAAACAACAGGGCGTCCAAATTAAAAATAATAGCGAAAGTCCCATTATTTTTGCCACAATAGTGTTAACGGCTTGATTTACTAATTTGTGACACCCTGTACTACCAGTATATGATCTAAATATTTGTTTATTGAGGAAGGTTTGCAAGGAAGTACGAACATGCCAAAGAGAAAGTAAATTCATCGTTATTGAATAACTCCATTGAAAGGTTTATACCACTTTAATTTTTAGTATTTTTATTTTCGTAGAAAATAACAAACAGATAAAGCATTTGTGGAGGCTACAAAACGTTTCAAAATAGGTTATACGAGAAACTGCAAAAGTATAATAAAATAACCATTTTTACGCAACCGTTAACCTAATTCACCTTTTTTAACGGCTACTGCTGTTTACATTTCATGCAGCAAATAAGGAATTTTCCGCTTCCAAAACTGAACAGGCTGTTAATCCATGTCAAATCGTGATAAGTGATAATTATTATATAATTTACTTACTGCAAAAAGTATGCAAGGTGTTCATTAATTTTTCAAAAACATTCAGTTGGAGATTTCTTGTAGAAAATAATAAAATGTTCCTATAAGTGTTCGGGAAAGCTTCGTTTATGGGATATTATAGTACAGGGAACCAAGGGTTTCCCTTCCAAATTTTTTCGTATAAAACCGACTGACGTAAAACTAAGAAGCGCCGATCAAGACCGTAGTAAAAATTTGTGTAATTTTTTTTTAAATTTTAAAGTTTAGATAATAATCATGGTAATTTAATTTAGAACGAGTAAAATTATTAATTTAAGGAGTTGATTATAATTTTATTACTAGTACCTCACGATCCTTTTCCATTCTATAATCACCTTATAATTTGGGTAATTTGTTCTCCCTTTTTTAGTGGCAACATGTTGTGCTAAAATAATGGAAACTTTTTGAATCATGTTGTATCATGCCTACGTTTAAATATGTTAAAAAATGTTAGCAGAAGAATTTTCAAATAAGGTGTCCTATAAATATCTCTATCAACTGGTATAATTACCGTTTATATCAATATTAAAGAGATTGAATTAAAATTCCTCGATTTTTTTCTTGTATTACGGTCCTTAAAAATAAAAATTCTTGATGTTAATGCTCACAACTAGAGTTTATATTTGTAATATAGGTACGAACTTTTATTATTTTGTACATAAATAAATAATATGCTGAAGAAAGCGTGTTATTTATTATACTAAAAAAGAATGCTATAATTGTAAGCTCATATTTTAGCAGATATTTCTACATAATACTTCCACATTACCGTAGATAAAATTAATTTATGAGTTGGAATGACTAAATAGCATCTACATAAATCAAAGATGAGCCCTTTTGTGCAGGAAATACTCTAAAAACGCTTTGTGCTAACTGTTACGCAATATATTGTGTGAATCGTTAGAAAACATATTTTCAAATTGAAAATATTTTTATCATTATGTATACATTTTCTTATAAATATGATCATATAGATTACGTAGCTTTTTTAGACAATCGAAAGAAACTATTATTATCAATAAATTACCATTGAAAGAATTATTTGCGCAATTAAAATATGACAAAAGACTGGTACGTCGACTTATTTCATCATTTTCATTTATTTTTTACATACAGCTGGTGAATATTGAAGGGTCTCTGCAGACTAAAAAAAATGCGCATAAAGATCAAACAATGTTTTGTATTGTATTATATCCTTTTTGTTGGTAGAAATTCTGAGAAAACTTCATTTAATGTAAAAAATGTTTATTTGTTGCATATTGCTAAAATACATAAAACAACTTTTAATTTACTACTTCAGTTGGGTCGCCTATTTGGGGGTATTTTTAATTTTATTTTATTATTGATTTTATTTATTACTAAATTCTTTATTAAATTTAATATTTTTTAGGATTTAAACCAACTTAGTTCCGTTGACCTTTTGAATTTAATTTTGCGGTATTACATCTTAGTAGACATCGGGTTTTAATAGAGGTAAGTTGTTCTAAATCGAAAAAATAATTTACACAATAATTAATTACCAATTTACGAAAAAAGTGAAGTTTATTTAATGTAGGAGACCCCAAAATACTCGACTGTCTGATGTAACTGATAAGTGATAACTGCAGTAAAAAAATTAAATCCATTTTTCTCAAAAAACCTACAAATATATTTTTTACAGTAAATAAGGTGATATTTAGAAAAAAACACCTAGTTTTATACAGGGTGTTAAAAAAATAGTGTAAAATATTTAAGGAGGTAATAGTATGAACCAAAATAAGCAGAAAAGTCTCAATAAACATGGGTCCGCAAAGTAACGGTTGCGGAGATATGGAATGTTTATGTTTTTTAGCCCCTTTTTTTTATTTTGCAAAAACGTTGTGTATTTTCTTATAATAGTTGGTTGATGTTTAGTGAAATAAACAGTACGTATTTGACAGTTGTTCTCAGTGCACAAGTTTTCTTTCGCTATGGCTGGTTACTCTAACGCAGAATTAACAGACATGCATTTCATGTATGGTCGTGCTAATGGGAACGCCACCGAAGCGCGACGTCTTTATGTTGACGCTTATCCAAATCGCCAGATTCCTTCACAACGCATGTTTGGAAGAATTCACCAAAGATTGCGTGATACCGGTTCCTTGAGCAAACAGTGCCATTTATCCGGAAGACCAAGGTCGGTATCCACTCCTAGAGCAGAAGAAGAAATTCTAGCACTGGTAGAGCAGAATCCAGGTACGAGTGTGCGGAGAATATCAGCCGAGGTAGGAATTAGTGGTCCTCTTGTTTGGAGAATCCTTCACGAGCAACTGCTTTATCCATACCATGTGCAACGAGTACAGGCCTTAAATCCAATAAATGATCATCAAGCACGTTTGGTTTTTTGCCGCTGGTTTCTACGTCATGATGCTGAAGACCCTCGTTTTCTTGCAAACATTCTTTTTACTGATGAGGCCGGGTTCACAAGAAATGGAGTGTTTAATTTTCACAATACGCATATTTGGGCCGACGAAAATCCTCATGCTCTAATAGAATCTGGACATCAGGCACGTTTTTCATTAAACATTTGGATGGGTATTGTAGGTGACAGGTTTCTAGGTCCTGTTGTTTTACCAAACCGATTAACAGGCGCTGCTTACCTCAACTTTCTGCAGAACACACTGTATGAGTTTTTGGAAGACATTCCTTTGAATCAGAGGCAACAAATGTGGTTCCAGCATGATGGTGCTCCAGCTCATTTTTCCATGGCCGTTAGAGAGCATTTACACCAAACTTTTCCACATAGATGGGTAGGAAGGGCCGGACCTGTTTTATGGCCTCCAAGATCGCCTGATCTGAACCCTCTAGATTTCTTTGTTTGGGGATATTTGAAGACATTAGTGTACGGTACTCCTGTAAATAGCCTGGAAGAGCTGCAGCTACGGATTAATCAAAAGTGTCAAGAAATCCAAACCAAGGAGGGTGTTTTCGAAAGAGTTCGAATATCGTTGAGACGAAGATGTCGTGCCTGCTTGGAAATGGACGGAGGGCACTTTGAACATCTTCTGTAACTTTGTTTTTTGTTTGTCAAAAACTTCCTTTGTGGGTTTATTCCTAATAAAATAAAATGTTTGAAAAACGAATAGTGGTCCATATCTCCGCAACCGTTACTTTGCGGACCCATGTTTATTATGACTTTTCTGCTTATTTTGGTATAGCTATGTTTGTATTTAGCTGCTTCAAAAACTCAAACTTAGTTGAAATATCTTACAAAGTAACGCAGCTGTGAAAAACAATTAATTAAAAAGCTTGGAACACTAGTTTTTTCGTCTAATAAAATGACAGCTTGGACTTATGGGCAATATATTCACCGATTCTGGCGCCTAGATACCAGATATCTACATATTATTTTTATATCAAATATTTTTTCAACTTTTGTGAATAAAATCTATAGGTATAGCAAAATTGATTAACCGTTAGAAATAATTTACCATATGAAAACCACTCGCTATTGTGTTAACTAGGCTACATAGTTAATTTGTTATTTCAGGAACCGCAAGAGATCAAGTCAGATCTAGGTGAGTTACTGCTATCCCTAGTCTACAACGAAAATCTCAATAGGCTGACTGCTACAGTAATCGAAGCCAGAAGACTCAAGGTAAGAAAAATATATTTATAATTTTGTTATAAAAAATTCAGCAAATTAGATGCGATAACGTTGTTATCCTGGAATCCGTCAGATATGGAAAAAATATGTAATATAATGAATAACAGTTTCCGTAAAAGAAATAGAAAATATTTGTATTGTTCGGGAGTACGACAAAGAGTAGAAAGGATATTGTTAAAGACTATTTTCACATTTTTACTAGAATAAATTTGCAGTATGCCTACTGTTTTTTAACTGTTAGTATTATTATCAATTTCAACCTGTTATCCTTATTAATGGACGTTTCGAATTGGAGTTGTCATTATAAAAGTAGTATTTCTTCAAAGGTGTTAATTACAAGCAACAAGAAATGTACAAACTAAGAATGTAGGTGGTTTCAAACAACAATATATTTGGAAGAATAATAACACGTCAGGAAACATCTTAAGCTATGGTTTGTTAGAGCTGTAGGCGACGCAAAGCAGACAGTCAGTTGTGCGCGTCGGACTTACGCTGAAATCTAGAACACAAGAAGATGGGCATCCGGCTTGTTAGAGTCTGCTCAGGTAGACTCAAGGTAGGTAGAAAATTTTGTGCGTCGTCAGTTCAGTTGAAATGAAATTTGATTTGATTTCAACGCAGTCGTTCAGTTGAGCTCATAGCGTACAGTGCTAAAAAGCGTTTATTTTTAACGAATTTTAAAATGGCAACCAAGTTTTCACCAGAGGAAGACGAGAAATTAATCGATCTCGTACGAGAACATCCCCCATTGTATACCGTTCTTTCCAAACGTCTGTTAGAAAACATTGATCTTCATTTTTATTTTGACGACAACTGATTAAATTCAAAAGATCTTTTTCATGTTCTTCTTCCTCAATAAGTATTGTCACCAAAAAATGTTAACGCTATTGTCATGAGAAAAATAAATTTTGCCACAGTAATAATAAATATTTTCGTCTGCATTTACCAGCATACAATCAGAAGCACTAAATCTAACAAAACACTCTCCCTTCAAAACCGATAAAGTTGAACGCTACAGATTCTGCTAACAGTGTATGTCGTCTGCGACGCAGGGTTCTAACAAACCAAAGCTTAAAGCTTCAACTTTATCGGTTTTGGAGGGAGAGTGTTTTGTTAGATTTAGTGCTTCTGATTGTATGCTGGTAAATGCAGACGAAAATATTTATTATTACTGTGGCAAATTTTATTTTTATCATGATAATGGCTGAACATTTTTTGGTGGCAATACTTATTGAGGAAGAAGAACTTGAGAAATATCTTCTTTGAATTTAATTAGTTGTCATCGTTAAAATAAAAGTGAAGATCGAATGTTTTCTAATTTCTATGTTTGGAAGGGACGGTATACAATGGGGGATGTTCTCGTACGAGATCGATTAATTTCTCGTCTTCCTCTGGTGAAAACTTGGTTGCCATTTTAAAATTCATTAAAAATAAATGCTTTTTAGCACTGTACGCTGTGAGCTCAATTGAACGACTGCGTTGAAATAAAATCGAATTTGATTTCAACTGAACTGACGACGCACAAAGTTTTCTGCCTACCGTGAGTCCACCTGAGCAGAATCTAACAAACCGGCTGCACATCATCTTGTGTTCTAGATTTCAACGTTTGTCCGACGCGCACAACTGACTATCAGCTTTGTGTCGCCTACAGCTCTAACAAACCATAGCTTTAGTGTTATATGTATAGGAATCAATATATTCCATAGGGAATGAGAATTTTAATGGTGCAGAAATATTTACAAATTTTTTTTAATGAAACATAAATTGTCGCAAGATGAAACTGAAAATACATCTTTATGTTACAATAAATCAAAATTTAAAGACCTTGCCTTTTTCAAAGAGTCTATAGAACCAATGGCAATAGTTTTGAGTCCACTTCAAAAAACCATTCGCTAAACTATGCTATTTTACCATAACTTAGTTACCTCTATATCTCTAATGGCTTTCAAGGTTCTACGACAGCATAAGAGAAATACGACAAAATAAATTTTTGGAACAATAAGAAACTATTTTCTTCTAATTTGTGATGTTGATTCAAGAAAGATATGATCAGGTAAGTAATTAAATTTTTTCTTAGCAGATAAAGTTTGATTTAGTTTAAAAAAAAAACGTTATTAATATTATAAAGGGTAACAAAAACATAATTTTCTGTGCATGGACTAATTTAATACTTTACTTTAAACTTTGAAATATTCTTTCTTGTACCATTTTACAAGAAATTTTGACAAAAACGCTTTATCTTCCATATACAGAGTATCTCCAGCAGTGGCTGATAATTATATTAGGCAAATCAGTGATTTTGTGACAAAAATACTAGTAGCAAACTGACTGTGACATCATATAAAAGACAGTCTGTAGATATATGCTTATATGTTTCATACTCCACTTTACCATTAATTAATTTTCTATAAATATTTTTATTAAAAAAAAACGCAGTTTTTTTAATGTTTTGCTTAAAAAACCTAAACTAACAAAGCAATCTAATTACTATAAAGAGACAATTTGTAGAGAATCGAAATACGAATAAAACGAGAGGTCAATCGATCCGGAATCAGGTCTGGTGAATAAGGAGGGTGAGAGGGAGGACAGTAATCTTATTTTTGCACACAAAACTGACGAACTGATAATGCTGAGCGTGCGGACGCATTATCCTGGTGAAGAACCATATCTCGTGACAACTATGGATCTTTTCGCGGATTTGTACACCTGGTTCACTGTTTCACCTTGAGGCAAGAATTCAAAATGCATAATTCCATTAAAGTTGAAAAATACAGTGATTTATCATTTTTTATATTGAATCGAGACTGACGTCTTCCTTGGGGCGTGGAGATCCTTAGCCAATCCATTGTGATGATTGAATGTTTCAATGTCGTAACCGTCAACCCAGATTTCGTTTCCCGTTATGATCCTTTGAATGAATGTTTCATCGTCATTGAATTGTTCAAGGAGTTGTCGAGAAACTTCCACACGATTTTCTTTCTGTTGTTAGATCATCAAATGAAGAACAAATTTTGTTGCAACTGATTTTGTTGCAAATGGTTATAAGATCAGCACCTTTATTGGCCAATAAAGTTGTTGAATTGCACCTCATACAATGGCCAGTATATGCTTCTGGATTTGTGATATTCAGGAATGAAGCAACTATTGAGGGTATCCTCGCCAATGTGTTGATTCCAACAGGCTGAGAAGGACATTTTTGATTGATGTATCTTAAAAAGAATATGTCTTGTGTTAGGCGAATTGAGCGCAGAGAAATATATTTTCTGTATATTTCAAGAGCATTCACGCAAAATCTTTCTTCTATAATTGTACATTTTCTTGAAATGACCGTCTTGGTGTCAGGTATTGAAACAAATAGGTAACTGCCAACGTCCTCTACGCCACTAATTTTCAAATTTGTCAATTCGCAGCATCAACAGGCACCATCATTATTAGTGCAACCTGAAATAATTCAAAGTTCATTATATACCTAACAACATGTAACAGGTAAGGATATTACCTTATATCATTAAATATTCTTTATTGGAAGCCCCAGTAAAAAATTCTTCAATATGGGCTCTTTCCAATACTGCAGCTTGTTTTGGTTTGTATCCTCTCGATTCGCTCTTCAAATAAGCAGTAAGCTTGTTATATTTTCCTATATCTATATTTTTGCAGACCTTTATAGTAGCTTTCAACATCGAATACTTCGACCACATAGATGAAATTGCATATTTTTTCTTCAAATTTAAAAAATACGATAGCATGTCTTCTTTATTTATTGTCATTACTCTCCTTTTTGCCATCCATTCGTTAAATTCGGCGAACACTATTTCGTAATGTTGCCTGGATTTCGCTGGCAATAAACGGAAAATTTCTTCTTGAGCTTCTTCAAAAACAGCCACAGGAACACAATTACTTTCTTGCATTTTTACCAAATTCAGATAGAACTGTTTATTAAATAATTGATAATAAACAACGTACCATAGCAACCAGTAGGTATAACAAAACCTACCGCGTTTCGTTGAGTAGTTGAGTACTAGTAAGAAATATCAAGTCGTGCGAAATTTTTTTTATTAAATTCCACAAATATGATTTTGATGTGATTATGGATAAAACGTTGTATTGCATTCGTGTTTTAACTGCCTTTTATCCACTTAAGAATATGAAAGAATATGAATATAAATATGAAAAGATTTAAACATTCTGGATAAAATGCTACTAAAAACACTTATACAATAAATAACTATAAATTCATAGTCTCATAAAGCATTAAATATTTTTTAAATACCACGAAAACACAAATGTTAACGCTGGTAAGTAAACCCGTTCTAGTTCATCTCATTAAAAAAAAGATGCAATATTTCTTTAGAATTATCCAGGGTACTTGTAAGCAATTTTTAATTAATATACCCCAATTAGGGCAAATCTACTTCAATACTTGTAAGTGTTCGGTTAACTTTTACAGTAATTAATGAATAACTTTTTAATGCTCCGAAGGAATCCCGGCCGTCATGGTCTTAAATATTAAATAGTTCTGGCTCTAAAGTCACGTAGACGGATAAAGAATACAACCCAGACTAATTATGAAGACATTTTAACGATTCGCTGCTACTACAAAAAGAGAAAACACAGCTTTGACTTTGGAATATTTATTCTAGACATGCTTTTATGTTCTACAAAATATATTTACCTATTTAGATCTCAGAATGCTGAAATGTTAGAGAAAATATTTACGAAACATGGGTGAGCGCTGCAATATTCCACTTCTTTCTTCACCTATAGAATTTTGATTATAGAATATTGCTACACGATGAACAATTAAACGACATAAAACAGGCATATAGAGTGTGTTCACTGTGAGAGTGAAAAAGATTGAAATATATTTTTTCAACCAATCGTCACAAAACTGTGACATTTTTTGACTGTCAGACAGAAGTCTCTAAGGTTATCATTTTCCTTACTGAGAAAAAAAATGGTACAAAAGTATTTACTTTTAATCCTGAGAGCTA